GACGTCACTACGAGAAAAACACTCAACACTATGACACAGCAAGCAGTGCAAATGCAACAAGTACAAACAAACACTAAACTGACTACTGCTACGACAAATACATCACATGCAACTACAACTACAACAAATGCTATGACAATTACAACTACGCATGCAACTACAACTACAACAAATGCTACAACTACACATGCAACTACAACAAACAAAACAACTACAACAAATAAAACTAAAACAAATGCTACAACTAGCGCGAATTCAGTGGCAAGATGGCTGAGCCATGTGCCGCCATACTTGCCACATGAGCTGCCGCAGCCATTCGCTGACGCTGCCACCGCTACTACAACAACAACAGCTGCCAATCACAGCCAGGCTCATGTGCAGTCGCCACTCAAACGACGATGCAATGAGCTTGACGAAAACGACGATGCCACAAAGTTGATATTAAACACACCACAATTCACAAGCGACTTTGCTACACGTTTAATACAAGAAAGGCGGCAACAAAAACTACAACAAATACTACAACAAGACAAGCAAAGTTACAAAAAACATAAAGCTACGTCACAACATGCAACAAACACCACTACGTCTACACAAACAAAGCCATCACCACAACCAAAGCAAATACGTGTACAAGCACAAATACATCATGTTGACGACATAACTACAGCCCCCGTCTCTGCCCCTACAGCTCCACCCCAGCACCAACAACAGCAACAACAGCCAATAAACAAAGATACAGTCACCAAGCAAAGGATACCAGCTATCTTTTTGCCTCTGGTGACTGATGTAGTGCCACTGATGGATATGCTTTATAAGCATCCATCAGTGAAAGGATTCAGCACTAAAGCTACTGGTGGTGCTGGGCGAGGACTACGTATTCACTGCCATGACCTTGATACATATAATGCAGTACTGAGTGTACTGCAGCAAGAAAAGCTGCAACTGCACACTCACCAGCCACGCCAGTTAAAAGGCTATCGAGTGGTGCTAAAGCACTTGCACCACTCGACACCTTGCGACTGGTTGAGGGTGCAGTTGCATGCTCTGGGCTTCATGACGCGTTTCGTGCGCGTCATGAAGCACAGATTCACATCAAAACCACTCAATCTGTTTGAGATTGAGCTCCAGCCACAGCCTGATGGCAGCCATGAGGCGGTGCTCAGTCTCAAACAGATCGGTATGCAAGCAGTTAGTGTGGAGCGTATGGCCAAACCCATCGATCCGGCCCAGTGCCATCGATGTCAAGCGTTTGGCCATACGAAAAACTACTGTAGGCGGCCATTTAGATGTATGAAGTGTGCGGGAGCACACGCATCCACAGAGTGCCCAAAAGGCAGGGACGAGGCGGCAACATGTGCAAACTGTGGGGGTTCACATGTTAGCTGCTTTAAAGGCTGTCCGGCCTTTAAAGCAGCGCGTGTGAAACTGCTTGCCGCCCAAGCCACACAAGCAATGCGCAAGCAGAGGCAGCCACAACAGCAACAGCAACAACAAAAAAAAAAAGCAGCAACTACAACAACAACAAGAAACAAACGTGCAACAAGTGGTCAACAGAAAATTGACCTATAGCAGCGCAGCGCGTAGTAAAAAACAACAACAACAACACAAATGACAAAGACATGCAACTACAAAGACAAGGACAAAGACAAAAGACAATACGCGGAAATGCAATAAAAACACCACTAAACAAGACAAAAGTAACAAAAACACCAGCAAATAAGGCCACAGTGACGAAAAACAGCAAAAACACAGCACAAAAACACTTGGCCAAACTACAACATTCACTACAAAGACAACAACAACAGGCTGCAACTCAATCGGCCAAACAAAACAAAGCAATGTTTGGCCGCATTGAACACAAAATTGACAAATTATTGACTGTTTTGGACAAATTACTCAATACACTACTGACCAAAACAGACAATAACGCACAGACAAATGCAGCAGCAAATACAAGTAAAACTGAACAAATACAGCAAACACAACAAGAACAAGTACCACAAGTACAACAAACACAACAACAACAAGTACAGGTACAGCAAATACAGCAAGAGCAAACTGAACAAATTGCTCAAACAAGGCGGCAGCCACAACATTATCCTATGGTGGACCTCCACGAACTCTTGGGCCTGGACAAGAAGTTCGAAACGGCGATGGAGACGTCATCAAGCTGGTGTACTGACGGCTCAGTCTGTTCCTCGTCAGCCAGCGAGAAACACTACTGACCGTTAATGCACCAGCCGGATCCAAAATGAAGATGACGACTACATGCAGCAGCAACAACAATGACGACGATCAGCTAATAATCTAAAAAGAATGACATATTAATAAATAAATACAACAAAAAACAAAGTAAAACTACGCAAATAATCGACGATACGCATACAAACACACTTGACGACTCAGGGATAATCCAACGAAATACAACTCGCCTCAGTGTCATGCTGAAAATAAAAAAAAATAAAAAACAAATTAATAATGCTAACAATGCTTCCACTTACCTGACGACCAAGGACAATTCTTCAACGATGCCAATTCGCACCTGCGCCACTCACTGACAGCTAACACATCAATTGACGAGTAATACTACATACATCAAATATGTACAAAATTACTTGACAATTGACTAATTAACCACAATGGACGCCAGTAGAACGCAGACGAACTGAAATAAAACGAAGAAATTAATAAACAATGTAAAAAATACATATAACGTATATGTAAATACTTACCTGCCACCTTGGGATAACACCAATACATCAGCTTCAAAACGAGACACTCGCCAGTCCTGGCAAAAATCTGGATGGACGACAATCGCCTTCGATAAATTTATCGAAAATCCCTGAAGAGCCACTAACTGCATATAAAATGCAAAACTATACATATTTGTATGCGACTTTTTACTGACCATGGCAATGTCAAGCCAAAACAAACTGACTGTCAATAAATTAGCTGAAAAAATAAGAAAAAAGGCTGAAAATAAAGAAAAAAGTTAAAAAAGCTTCAAAAAAAGCCCAAAAAAAAATGTTAAAAACAAAAAATAACTATGGAGAAAAAAAAAAAAAAAAAAAAAAAAAAAAATAAAATAAAAAAAAAAAAAAAAAAAAAAATTTTAAGCTGAAAAAGAAAATAGCTGAAAAAAATAAGAATATATGCTGCCAATAAATATGAAAAAAAAAAATCTTATATACTTACCTGATCGCCATTGGGGTCCACTAATCTGAAAAAAAAAGAAAAAAAAATTACCAAAAATATTAATTTACTTACCTGATTGCCGATGCCATTGGGGGTCCTCTAATCTGAAAAGAAAAAAGAAGAAAATATTAATATTTCAATTTTCAACTCACCACTACATAGATGGAGAGGGTATGCGCCAGCCGGCGCATGCCAGTGATTGACGCCAGTGCTCCATGGATGCACACTGGCCACGCACTAACGCTTAATGGCTGCCAATCCGGACGACGAGCTGCGCGGGACGCACGCTTTCCACTGATGACAACGTATGCAGCCGCACACTGAAAAAAAACGAACCACAAGCCATTATCAGCGTTAGACGACAACAAGAGGGCTACTTATCTGACGAGCTGCGACCATTCCAGCGACGAAGAAGGATGTCCATGATGACTGCCACCAATGTACCTGCAAAATAGAATAAGTTAATATTAAGTTAATGTTTAATGTATTTATGTTGAATGTTAATTTATTATTGTTCTTATTGTAACTAAATGTAATTGTCTTTTGCCATTATGTATGTTAAACATGTGAGTTAGTGATGTAAATTGCATGTAAATATTGTAACTATTATCGATAGCTGTAACTATTGTTAAGTGTATAATTAGCGTCACTAAGTTAATCGCACGAGTGACTACCGGATTTTAACCCATTCAACTTAACAAGTGCCTGAAGATGCTGTGAATCCGACTCACACCATAGTTGCTCACCCGAGTAATAAGTTGAGTGTCGCGAGCGTGATCGGACGCACACCGCTGAGCGCGAGGCCGGCGGGCAATTAGAGTAGTCTGACTTTGTAAAATTACATTAAGCCAAGACTGCGGTGAATAATAAAAAAAAAAAAAAAAAAAAATTTAAAATTAAATAAAAGTGTTTTTATTTAAAACAAATTAAAAAACATCTACATAGCTCTCAACGGCGGCGAATTAAATAAAATTAAAGTGACAAAAAATTTTCACAAGTGAAAATCGGCCATCTTGTGCGCGTCTATGGACATAAGTATAAAATGAAAAAATTAAATATCTTGCGAATCCTTATTTGAATTAAAATGAAACAAAAAGCAAATTAAAAACAATAAAAGCTGCGAATTATGTGCTAAAACAAAATAAAAATTCAAATAAAACTTACCTTCTTTTACAATATCTAAAAGTGGCCATTACTATGTGCATAGTTACATATGTACATACATAGAAATATAAAATTAAACGCAACTAATTATTTCTTATTTGAAACAAAATAAAACTTAAACTATAATATTAAACAACTAAATCCACGTTGACTACAACAAATTAAAACAAAATTCAAATAAAATTAAATAAAAATATAACAACTCAAAAAGTGGCCATTTCTATGTACATACGTGCATAAGTACATACATATATAAAATCAACTAAAACTAACGAGTTTTATTTAAAACGAATTAAAACCTAAACTACAATATTAAACAACAAAAACTGTGATAACTACAACAAAATAAAATTAAATTCAAATAAAAATAACTAAAACATAACAACTTTAAAAGTGGCCATTTCTATGTGCATACACACATACACACATGCACATATATACAACACAACCAAATTTAACGAGTTTTATAACTAAAATAAAACAAATTAAAAGCAACTAAACTACAAATGTGTTAATATCTACGTGTTAGTGTTGTTTTTATATGTTAAATGTTAAGTGTTAGTAATGTTAAACATATTAAAATAATACAAAACGGCCACTAAGTGTAAACTAAAAACACACACAGACAAAGTTAATAAAACAAAGACTACAAATAATCAACAAAAACACCACAAAAACTACATACAACAAAATTTACACACAACAAAAACTACACAAGATGCCAAAAGACGCCAACAACTCGTCGCCAATCTCAGTGGGCCGGGATGAAGACTTCGCCGCCTACGTCATGACCAGCGCAGAGGAGATGGACACAGCAAAGATCTTCGCCAATAAGAGGATGGATATTGGTCAGTATGCACTCCCTCTATTCTCTCCTCATCTATCCCCTATACCCAAGCCACTAAAAAACGCGCCAAAAGACGCGACAAAAGACGCGCCAAAGAAGGCGGCAAAAACCGCGCCAAAAAAGGCGCCAAGCGAGGCGTCGAAAATGGCCGATCGCAAGTCACTCGAGAGCGGCCTGGAGAAGCTTGTGAGTGAAAGCACTCAACATAGGCGGCTCTCTCTCCGCAGCTTGGGTCGGCCATTGTTAACAAGAGAGACTATCACTCACACTCACACTCAATCACATGCAAACATGAGAAACCACCCCGACGATCACGCTCACACTCAACCACACTCAAACGAATCACGCTCACGCTCAAAACAAAGTCACTCAACTAAACCGAAACCAAACAATGATGACGTCACTACGAGAAAAACACTCAACACTATGACACAGCAAGCAGTGCAAATGCAACAAGTACAAACAAACACTAAACTGACTACTGCTACGACAAATACATCACATGCAACTACAACTACAACAAATGCTATGACAATTACAACTACGCATGCAACTACAACTACAACAAATGCTACAACTACACATGCAACTACAACAAACAAAACAACTACAACAAATAAAACTAAAACAAATGCTACAACTAGCGCGAATTCAGTGGCAAGATGGCTGAGCCATGTGCCGCCATACTTGCCACATGAGCTGCCGCAGCCATTCGCTGACGCTGCCACCGCTACTACAACAACAACAGCTGCCAATCACAGCCAGGCTCATGTGCAGTCGCCACTCAAACGACGATGCAATGAGCTTGACGAAAACGACGATGCCACAAAGTTGATATTAAACACACCACAATTCACAAGCGACTTTGCTACACGTTTAATACAAGAAAGGCGGCAACAAAAACTACAACAAATACTACAACAAGACAAGCAAAGTTACAAAAAACATAAAGCTACGTCACAACATGCAACAAACACCACTACGTCTACACAAACAAAGCCATCACCACAACCAAAGCAAATACGTGTACAAGCACAAATACATCATGTTGACGACATAACTACAGCCCCCGTCTCTGCCCCTACAGCTCCACCCCAGCACCAACAACAGCAACAACAGCCAATAAACAAAGATACAGTCACCAAGCAAAGGATACCAGCTATCTTTTTGCCTCTGGTGACTGATGTAGTGCCACTGATGGATATGCTTTATAAGCATCCATCAGTGAAAGGATTCAGCACTAAAGCTACTGGTGGTGCTGGGCGAGGACTACGTATTCACTGCCATGACCTTGATACATATAATGCAGTACTGAGTGTACTGCAGCAAGAAAAGCTGCAACTGCACACTCACCAGCCACGCCAGTTAAAAGGCTATCGAGTGGTGCTAAAGCACTTGCACCACTCGACACCTTGCGACTGGTTGAGGGTGCAGTTGCATGCTCTGGGCTTCATGACGCGTTTCGTGCGCGTCATGAAGCACAGATTCACATCAAAAGCCACTCAATCTGTTTGAGATTGAGCTCCAGCCACAGCCTGATGGCAGCCATGAGGCGGTGCTCAGTCTCAAACAGATCGGTATGCAAGCAGTTAGTGTGGAGCGTATGGCCAAACCCATCGATCCGGCCCAGTGCCATCGATGTCAAGCGTTTGGCCATACGAAAAACTACTGTAGGCGGCCATTTAGATGTATGAAGTGTGCGGGAGCACACGCATCCACAGAGTGCCCAAAAGGCAGGGACGAGGCGGCAACATGTGCAAACTGTGGGGGTTCACATGTTAGCTGCTTTAAAGGCTGTCCGGCCTTTAAAGCAGCGCGTGTGAAACTGCTTGCCGCCCAAGCCACACAAGCAATGCGCAAGCAGAGGCAGCCACAACAGCAACAGCAACAACAAAAGCAAAAGCAAAAGCAGCAACTACAACAACAACAAGAAACAAACGTGCAACAAGTGGTCAACAGAAAATTGACCTATAGCAGCGCAGCGCGTAGTAAAAACAACAACAACAACACAAATGACAAAGACATGCAACTACAAAGACAAGGACAAAGACAAAAGACAATACGCGGAAATGCAATAAAAACACCACTAAACAAGACAAAAGTAACAAAAACACCAGCAAATAAGGCCACAGTGACGAAAAACAGCAAAAACACAGCACAAAAACACTTGGCCAAACTACAACATTCACTACAAAGACAACAACAACAGGCTGCAACTCAATCGGCCAAACAAAACAAAGCAATGTTTGGCCGCATTGAACACAAAATTGACAAATTATTGACTGTTTTGGACAAATTACTCAATACACTACTGACCAAAACAGACAATAACGCACAGACAAATGCAGCAGCAAATACAAGTAAAACTGAACAAATACAGCAAACACAACAAGAACAAGTACCACAAGTACAACAAACACAACAACAACAAGTACAGGTACAGCAAATACAGCAAGAGCAAACTGAACAAATTGCTCAAACAAGGCGGCAGCCACAACATTATCCTATGGTGGACCTCCACGAACTCTTGGGCCTGGACAAGAAGTTCGAAACGGCGATGGAGACGTCATCAAGCTGGTGTACTGACGGCTCAGTCTGTTCCTCGTCAGCCAGCGAGAAACACTACTGACCGTTAATGCACCAGC